CGTCCTGGGTATGGCTATAAACTACATCCGCGTCCTGGGTATGACGATAAACTACATCAGCGTCCTGGGCATGACGATAAACTACATCCGCGTCCTGGGTAAGACGATAAACGAAGTCCAACAGCAAAGCCTCTGATCAGGAGATTTTGAGAAGCGTGGAACCACCTCCTAATTGCTGGTGTTCCCAAGTCCGCCTTGACCCGGGGTGGTAGGACCTGTTAGGGTCCCAGCTATGGGCAAATAGTTAACCCCGAAACTGGGGTAAAAACACTATGAAAGTGTAAAAATAGGTTTTAATACTAGAAATAATTTGTAAAAAATTATTTCCATCAATAAATTTTTGAAGAAAAAATACTATTACCAGCAATATATTTTTGAAAAAAAAATATTATCAGCAATATGCTTTTGGAAAAAATATTACCAGCAATACATTTAAAAAAAAAATATTACCAGGTATAGATTTTTGATGAAAAAAATATTACCAGCAATAGTTTTTTTGAAAAAAAATTATTACCAGCACCACATTTTTGAAAAAAAATTATTACCAGAAATAGATTTTTGACAAAACAAAATATTACCAGCAATAAATTTTTGTCGGCATTATACCGTAAGACAAAACAAACTTCACAGCTTACACAAAAGATCCGTCATTAACTACTGTTCTTTTCCTCTGGCTGACCTATTGCTCAGTACACTAGTAATTTCTTTCTTTTTCAGGACATTCAAGAGTTGGATGAGTCAAATGGTGATTACGAAGGTACGAGAGTTCGGAAAACTCACTCTGATTGTTCTGATAAGAAAAGAACTCCCGAATTTCTTGCTGTAGGCCTCAGACTCAACATGAAGGCCTACATCAAGTACCTTGAGGACGTAGTGCTGATCTGGGTCAAGAGGGTGGCTGCTTGAGAGACCCTATGTCTGACAGCAGGACTCCGGACCATACCACACAATCAAGAGAACCCAGTCATGGCTGTTAGACAATTTCTGTGACGACATCACCCCTTATATTTGGTCACCTAACTCCCCAGACTGTAACCCCCTTTATTGTTATGTGTGGGGGGGCAGCTTAGCGAGAGACCAACAAAACTCCTTGTAACATCAAAGAGGAACTGAAGGCAAGGATTATGGCAGCATTCACCAACAAGGAGACCGTCCAGAAGAGTTGCCGGACATACAGGATCCAATGTCGGTTTTAATCTTTAGTATTTTAAGATAGTTTTACTTAATTTTGGTAAATATATCTGTTAAAATGAGATATCAGTGTTATTTTCATTTTTGCTTATTTTAGATGCCGATTTATCCATTCCTCCATATATATATATATATGTGTGTGTGTGTGCGTGTGTGTAGTTTAAAATTATACATTAAGAAAAACGCTGAAGATTCAGGAACACTTAATTTTAAATTCAGATTTAAAATTTCTGGCGTCTGATTTGCACTATGTAGTTGACATTCTTCTATGTACTGTGTACCTTTAGTATATTGGTGATACTGGCTCTCCACAACTTCTTACCCCTTGTAGCTATTTGGGACGCTAGTCTTTATTATTATACCCGCTACGTCCCTTTCCTGTTGTCCATTTACACAAGTTATTTCTGTAGGTCTCTCGCTAATATCCCTCTGTCCTTCATGCCTTCAGTATGTCAGGTGAATGTTAATTTTACCATGCCTTCTTTCCTCGTTATGTGCCCCACAAATCTCAACTTTCACTTTTTGATTCTAAGCAAATTTTATTTTCATTTTTTTTTTAAACTTCCTCGTCACTTCGATGTTACATCCATAATATTCTTAATGCGTAGTACCAAAGCATAGGTCCACATCACGATGAAACATCAGTTACGATAGCAGAACTTAACCGAAGTCGAGCCTGGTCAGTACTTAGATGGGTGACCGCTTGAGAATACGAGGTGCTGTAAGCTAGGATGTGCGGGTGGTGTAAAGGATAATGGCCATGAATTGTTAATCAGATAGCCGAGTTCCAATTCCCGTTAGGTTCATTATATTCATTTACGCGAGAATGGTATGAATCCACCTCTTATCCCTCCAGCTATGGGTTAATTAGTAAGACTTGTATCACTAAACTAATAAACCTCCAAAAATATTTTTACAATGTAAAAATACTTTCTGGCCTTAAATAACCTGCAACGGGTTGATAAACCTTAAAAAAAACGAATCAGTCAATCTGTAGAACCACATGTTTGTCACCTTCAGATCATCCACTGCCATATTTGTCGATTGCTATTACATAAATGTGTAGCATGTCTTCTAATAAACATTTTCTGTTTCTTAATCATTTGTTTGGCTGTCTTACTGTGAATAAACATCGAAGTATTAATAAAACTCGTCACTGGTTTTGTTGGTTAATTGTACAGTGAATGGTTGTAAGCATACTTCTCGGAGTTACCTTTGTATCCTTTGAACATATATATCTGATAAGCATTGTCTGCTTAAATCTTCTGACGTCTTGTCATAGATAACTCACATTAATATTGCTTATTCACGTACATCCGACATTCTCAAACGACGTATCGCTTTCTTTATTCGACAAATCATCCCGTCTGTACGTTTGAACTGGGCATTTGTATTGGAAAAAGGTCGCCTGTCCTGTTTATTCGTTCCACTGCAGCACATTATCGTCATCCGTGTTCAGACTTAATGGTCGAGCTTTAGACAAGAGGACAATTGCGACAAAGTGCTGTTCTCGCAAATCACTCAATCCTCGTTAGATATCCGATGAACCTCCCCCCCCAAAAAAAAAAGAAAAAAAAGAAACAAAACTAGTACAATAGTTCTCAGTCTTAGGTCACATTTCTACTCTGACGATTGCAAATTTTCTCAATTCGTCGTCCATCTTGAATTTCTATCGAGCAATTTTTTAAGCATTATAATTTTAATTTCAAAGTCTAATCTCTATGTCCGAATAAAAAACGATGTGTCAAAAGGACAGTTTTCCTTAAACACCGCTATTACTGTAAACTCTATTCACTCCCTCTGCAGTGTTTATTGTTTTAAAAAGCGACGATTAAAATTTTAATCAAACCCAAATATATGAGAGTGAATTTGTACATTTTATTTGTTCAAAAGGATGGTTTTCTCTAGACACCTCTATTACTGTATACTATATTCCCTCCCTCTGCAATGTTTATTGTTTTAAAAAGTGATGATTAGAATTTTAATCAAACATAAATATATCAAAGTGAATTTGTACATTTTCTTAGTTCTTGGGATTTTACAACAAAAATATGAAACAGTATTTATTTATTAGATTGTTTATTTACAAGAATAAATGTATATTTACAACATTCTAAAACTTTGAAACAATCAATACCATGTATAAATCTATAAAGAAATATATATGAAAACAATTTTTATTCATAAATTTATAAAACATACAAAATTATAAAAGTATGGGAACCATGTATAATGAAATCTTTATTATTTACCATTTTATTAAGTTTGAATCGATTGACAATTAGCTTATATTTTGGAACCATTCTAAAGAACATAATTCGCTATCTTCAGCAATTGCTTTAGTCAAGGTGCTTAGTGTCCACCTTTCATTTAAGATTTCTTCACTTGCCAGTACTTGGCTGACAATAATTAATTTTTTTTTAGTAATGATTAATTTTTTTAATGAGTAGGAAGAGGTAACATAATTGCTTCGGTTTCAGGCATTGCATTTCTATTGTGGACCGCTGATCCTAGAAAAATAAAAATGGAAAATTAAAACAAAATGTAATCTGAGTCATAAAACTATTTAAAAAGCCTAAAAATACCCGAAAAAATCGTGTTTATTTAAATTTTCTTCTTCTATCCTTCACAGATGTTTTTTTATAAAATTATGAATAAAAAAATGGCTTTTATATTTATTTATAAAATGGAAAATAAATAATAAATATTACACTGTAGTTGGTTTACTTATTTAAAATTATGAAGATTTTTATCATTTTTTGAATAAATATATTTTTTTAAATTTATTTCTTTACTTGGTTCTTATATTTTCTAAATACAAATTGTGGAGGGAGTTAATATAAATTAATAGCGAAGTCAACAGGAAAAAAATTGTCCTTTTGATACACCGTTCTTTGCAGGTATATTTGCTTAAAATCTCTGTGACATCAACTTTTTAAACACAATTATTAACATTAAAAAAAAAAAAAAAAAACGAGGGGAAGAAATGGTATATACCAAAATTTAAACTGATTGATTTGTCGTTTTTTATTATTACTTTGTTGGTTATTTTAAAGACGAAACATATTTTAGATTGTAAGAAAAATTTCATTAAAAAAATTTTCTTTAGAATAACTGATTTTCTTACATACAAATCCTTCTATATAACACATAACTGGAAGTGGAGATAGGTTTATACCTTTCCCAAAGTCATTTACACGTAAGTGTGATGTAATGAAGTCGACTGGAATTCGAACTCGGTTAAACAGTTTTTCATTCCGTATCGCTATCCATTACATCAACCGCACATCCACCAAAATTCAGAACCAAAGAAAATAATTAAAAAAGACAAGTAAATACCTGGGATACATTTAAAATAATAAATTGTTAAGGGGTCTACCCCTTTTTATACAAGTGGACTCGTCCAGTGTGTACTTGTACTGCTGCCGGTGAATACCCGGAAGTGAGAGAGTGAGAGTGTAAGGTAACCGCTTTGTAGGAATCATAGTTGCGAGCGCGTAACTCAGAAGGAATTCCTACTTCGATACTGAATTTCCCAGACTGTATATATATATTATTATTGCTACTAACCGCATTTCTGGATCTACTAACCGTATTACCAATTGTATTATTACGTCAATACATTTATTTGCTATATTTCATTCCTGCGTTTGTCATTCATTTGAGACCGGATTTCATTCCGGAATCCACAACAAAAATAAAATAGGTAAATTTAAGGGTTATGACTATAATTAACATAAAATATTTGCCACAAAGAAAAGAAGTGAAGCGTTTGGTTTCCTTCTTCCCCAACTTCCCTTAATTACACCATGGCCTCTCTCTTCTTTCTCCCCCTCTCTCTCTCTCTCCCTCTCTCTCGTCGTTTTATGAAAGTCACCTTTTCACGATCCAGTTTGGTTTTCGTTCTGGTAAAGCATGCAATGATGAGATATTGTCATTAAACTACAAGAAATTGTTTACCTGCCTGTAAATTGTATACTTGCTCCGTCGACTTCGCAGCAACTTATGACCCCAGCAATAGAGACTTACATGCCACACCCATTAGAAGCAACCTTCCAAGCTCCGAATCCACTGAATGCATCGATCGAATAGAGGAACTGTATCGATCTACACAATCTTCTGGTGAAGACAGAAAGATTTAAAATCTCAGTAAGTGCACGACAAGGAGGAAATGGAAGGCCCAGTTTATTTAATCCTTCCCTTAACTATGCCATGCGCATCTACAAACACAGATGGGCATAACCATTTAAGCGTTCCATACCACATCCTAAACGAATCTACCAATAGATGACAACGATCCTGTTTTTCCTCCCGATGTCAATGTACTGATAATGAGAAAAGCTATGCTGAAGTGAAAGTTATTCATAGTTTGGATAAGAATAACATTGACCAGAAAATCAATATCCTCTATCAAGTGTTCCAAGAAAACCTTTACAAAACAGAAACTATGATCTGGAATTGGATATGAAAACAGTGATGGCACCTACCCTGAATCCATCATAAAAATTCGGAATATAGAATGTGTAAATACTAAACACTTCAAATAACTCAGCATAAAGATCAGTTATAAAAATTTATTCTGGGGGAAAAGGAAATTGAACATAGAATAGGTTGCGCCAGAGTTGGTTTTGCCCAACACTGCAAATGACTAAAAAAATAAAAAATAATTAACCTGAAAACTCGGGTTATGTTCCTAAATAGCCTCGACAGATCGAGATTTTAAAATGGATGTCATGGTGACAAACCCGTTCAGAAATTTCTAAGCTGTCAACTGTATGCAACCGCTTTCTAAGATCAATGATTAGAAAATGCTTTGAGCGTATGAAGCCTGAGGGTCTTGGCAAATTATTTTTCTTTGAACATTTTAGACTGGTGATACAGAATCACAAACAAAGAACTGCACGAAATAACAAAAAAAAAACACACATCACTTGAGGACAATCAACAACAGCAACAACTAAAATAGATAACACGTGTTGCTTGCAGAGAAAATAATGACATAATCAAGACATTGACATTTCAACTAAATAAAAAGATTGGGAGGACTCTTCACTCCAATTAATACTTGAAAGATCGTTAACAGAAACTGAGCTTGAGAAATCTATTTTCCTGAAAAACTATTTTAAGATCAAGATTGTATTTCAACCTGTTGAGGGGTGCACCTCATTTTACACAAATGGACTCACCCAATATATACATATACTACGGCTACGTGAAATCCCGAGAGAGCAAGACCGAGGTGTCGAATCCAGAGTGACAGAGTAAAAGGTTGTAGGTAACCGGAAGAGTGAGGGTGAGGTAACAGCGTTGTAGGAGTCACAGTGAGCGAGCACGTAGACTCAGTAAGAAGTCATACAGTGATACTTCAATACCAAAGACTGTATAGATATTTTGCTACTAACCCGTATTCCTGGAATTACTAACCTGCTTTACCAGTTTGTATTATTACGTTAATACATTATTTTCATATATTCATTCCTGGCGTTTGTTATTTATTGGTACCGGATTTCATCCCGGAATCCACAATACAACCGAAAGCAGTACTGGCTGCTTGGCCAAATGTTTCTTTGTAAGGAGACGGCTAATATTCGTATTATCATTATATAGAACCAAAGAAGCATAATGACACACGGCATGAAGATAGCAATGAGGTGTGACATTGACAATTACTATAGAGTGTTGATTCCTATGTCCATAATATCCAGATCTATAAAAGTGACGATTTTAAATTTTATTTTTGGATACTCATTTTACTACGGATTCCTACGTAGTTTGAGTCGTAGAAACAGATAAAATCACTTCCAGTGGCATAGCTGCATGATAAATGCCTTAAATCGAAGTTTGAATGTTGCGCTTTGAGACCCCGGATAGTATAAGTTAGGTATCTCCGTCATTGAACAAACTTTTACCACAAATATGGCAACATAAAAAAAAACATTATGATACTAATAGATAAAAAAGGGTTATTAGTAATAGCAACAAACTTGCTGTAGTGAAATTGAATTAGGAAAAGTAAGCTGAAAAGATAGGATATTAGGATAGAAATAGGGATCCTCATATAGTTTGTAGAATATGTTTAAAAATTTTGAGAGAATGAATAAATGGAAGAAGTTAGAGAGTGATGTTTGGAATACGAAAAGATTTAGAAAGAACCGAACAACCATATGTGACTCGAGATTGATTGCGTTAACATACAGCAATTGTGGCACCATGATATATTACTCTCATTAATTCCCACTCTGTTGTTTCTTCTCTGGCTAAAATTCCACTTTTCTGTCCTAAAAATTTCTCCTTTGGGAGCTAAGTACTTCCAGTTTGAAAATCATTAATCTAGAACATTACACTACAAACTAGCAGGAATAATGTTTTGGGCCTTGTTAGCGACTCCTATTTAGCCAGAAAAATGGTACTAAATTTACCAATAATCTTTTAATATCTGACAATTTGTTATCGTTACCATTTCGTGATTCTTTCGGACTAAGATTTTCATATTTTATTGTTTCGTTGAATCTATCTACAGATCCCTGTGTGAAACGTTAATGAACAACAAAAATATAAATGCTAACCTAAAGAATCATTGAATAAATATACATTCTGCTAGTAAAACTAATGTAAAATAAAGTCTTCCTTATAGCATAAAATATAAGGACTAGTATTCTCCAACTATGAACACAGGCAATAAAATAGCCACCATTTTGTTTCCACTGTCTGGCCAGGTAGGATTTTTATGGAAGAAGAAATATGATGTTCACTAAGCTTAATTTAGTTCGCTGCATCGCCGCGGGTATAGAACGATTGATGTGGATCAAACTTTCTACACAATCGTACAAATCTTTACACCACAGACGCGGTTCCAGTGATGACAGGATTACCCACACACTCGCACTTACACACGCACACACCTTTTCTTTTATACCATTTTTGTGGGCGATTTCTAAAACTATCTTGAGGATGATTTATTTTGGAAAAGAACGTAAATGGAGAGGGAATTATTCCTTTCCTAAGGGCCTTGGAGAAAAGGCCATACAATTGTCGACACGTACGCGCACATATAGACATACACGTGTGTATATATATATATATATATATATATATATATATATATATATATATATAGAGAGAGAGAGAGAGAGGAGGAGGGGAGAGAGAAAGAGAGACAGAGAGAGAGACTCATCTATACATATGTATGAAGATAGGAATTAACACACCTTAAGCGATCTTTAAACGTTCGAAAAATCGCTTGGGGCGTGAAACTTACAGTTAACATACATTATATTGTCTGAAATTTGCCACGTCTATCGCGGGACAGAACACAATATCGGCGATATAGCGTTTGCAGATATAAAGTAGTCCGTCACACACACACACACACACATACATATATATATATATATATATATATATATATATATATATATATATATATATATATATATATATATATGTGTGTGTGTGTGTTTATTCATATGGCCTGAAGGTTGCGTTCAAGCATGTCTCACTGTGTATTTTTACATTTACGCAAGCTCTGTCCAGGATATTGAAACATCTTTATCCATAAATATATACTAAAATTATATTGTTTATCTCTCTCTCTCTTTTCTCTTTATATATATATATATATATATATATATATATATATATATATATATATATATAATATAATATAATATAATATAAAACGCTCAAACAACGCTTCCTTGGCTATAATTTATTACATTGGAATCGTAATCACGATCCAATTCATCAGATCTACAAATTCAAAAAGAAATCGGAAAATATAACTTCAGGTATAAAAAAAACAAAATTTTAGTGAGAGTTTATGTATGGGAGTGGGAATCAAGTGTGAGAAGGAAATATATGAAAGCTCTAGAGAGAGGGTGTAACAGAAGAAAGAAGAACAGGAGGAAGACCCAAAGATGAAGGTGGGGATTAAAATTTAACAGAGAGAAGTTTTAAAGAGAGGAGTTAAATATCGGTTTAAATGAGTGAGATACAGATAAATATGAATTATTTTCAGATTCATAAATCACTACCGATTTGCTGACCTAAAATTAATAATTAAAAAACAAACACTGGAAAATATACTTTTAATGTATGCTATATTTATGAGGAATATTGCGCTATATCAGGTATAAAAGCGTATATATATATAAATGATTAAATGTGAAAATATGTACACACACGCGCATATATATATATATATATATATATATATATATATATATATATATATATATATATATATAGGTACATAAAATACTTTTACAAACAGTGGAGCGTGTTCCTGACACTAAAACAAAGTAAAATATCCATATAAACATTGTACCGTTGTACCTCAACACAAATCGTAAGAAATGTTCAATATGTCCTCGGCCTAACTTTTAAAATGGAAGGGGTCATTAAAAGATAAGAATATAGATATCTTTCTCACCCTTTCTCGGACCAGTCTTAATTGTTTTATTACCCTTCACGCAGAACTTTTTCACTGCTAGTTCAAGGAAGACATTTGGGTCACTAACACACAAAAAAGAGAATATTTAACATCGAAAACATAGGAAAAATTAATTCCTTTTAATAATATTTGGAAATATTCAGTGTTTGCCTGATGAAGATCGCGTAAATGGAAACTCGTGTAGCAAAATTATAGAAAATAAAGCATAATATATTAAACAAATCCACATTACAACCAAAAATTTTTTTGGTTTCTCTCTTCTATTTAATATATATATATATATATATATATATATATATATATATATATATATATATATATATATATATATAAGCAAATATATGGATATAGATCCGATAGTGAAGAAAATACAGAAAAATCTTCAAAATCTGAATATGCAATTATATAG